AAAGGACAAGTCCCAGCAGCAGGCAAAGGAAGCTAACATGGCCGCGGATGGTGCGAAGGATGTGGAGAAGGGTGAACAGGAGCAGGGCGATGAAAAGCATGGAGCGTGGCAGGACAACTCCAACCTGAACATTCCAAAGACCTTTGCTGCAATGGCGCGGTTCAATGCTGCTGTGATGGGCACGGGGGACCGCATGTGGTTTGCTGACATGCTTTATGCCATGGAATCCCTCGTGCCCTACATCGGCAACATAGACCGGGTTCAGGAAGACTGCGATGTACTGATGTTGACGTTGGCCAAATACGGCCAAATCAATCTCAAGGAATTCCGTTCCGTGATGTTTGCAAGTCTTAGGTCCCTCCTGCCCACCAAATGGAGCAACGACCACGAGAATGCTTGGGCCTGGTTCTGGACCATTGTGGAGAAGAAGGTGGAAGAGAACAAGAAGCTCCCTGTGTACAACCACCAGTGCTTGAGAACTTTTCTGGCACGCCTCGATGAAGAGACCCTTGAAGACTTTAAGCTGAAGGTGTTCGACTCCTTCTTCGCAAACTGCGAGGAATCGCAGCTTTACTTGCGGGCGGCCAACAAGCGCTTGATGTATATCATGGGGAGGATCTTGAACATCATGTCGGACATCTACACAAAGACCCACCAAGCGGTCATCGCTTTGTCTGCTTTGGGCCTTCTTCATGCCGGCCACGGAGTTCCGGAAGACTTGGTGCGGCCTTTTGTCGCAGCCTTCATGGGTGGTATCAAGGAAAACTGCCCAGATGAGTCCATACATGATGGGCTGTGGTGGACGTTGGATCTCATCGGCAGGATCTTCATCCGAACGCTGTCAGAAGGCTCCACGCCAGTGATCATCGCCATCAACAGGAACACCTCCAAGGCTATGAAGCTGGCCGTGGCAAACTATCCTCGTGGAGAGCGCGAGGTGATCTTGCTGACGGTTCAGGTGGGCACCGAATCGATGTCTCCTTTGATTTGGGCAGTGGAGAAAGGCGCGCTGGAGTCTGCGAGGGAGATCCTCAATGACTTGCTCACCTTGCGTGCGGACCGTGCCCGGTACTACTACGGAATGGAGATGTTGTTCACCCGCCACTCGGACATCATCAGCCTGCTTTGCACCAAGGCGCCGTCTCTCTTGCCGACGGTTTTTGATGGACTCATCTGGCGGTCAAAGAACGTGAAGAACGGCATGCGCCGCGCGAACTACTACATCGCGTCCTTGCTCAGGGGCGAAGATGGCCAGCTGACAGATTCCCTCCTGGACCTGATCAAGCAAGGAGACCCCGAGATCATTTGTCATCCCACGGTGGTCTTTCAGGCCGATCTTCTCTGGACTCGGCTTTGTTGCTTGCCATGGGCTGTGGTTCTGTGCCACCCTCGTGGTCTACGTCATGGCAGAGCAGCAAGCTGTGACTGCAAGCGATCCCTTGAGTCAGGAGCGGTTCACCACCATTTTCTGCCGAGCGTTCTTGTACATCGGCAGCCTGGGGCAGCTCTTTGCCAAGCATGCCTACCAGACCTACCGGGCAGTTCGCCAGAAGCAGATGACACGCCTTTGCTGCTTGCCGGTGCCCAAATATGTGTTGCAAACGCGCCAAGAGTTGACCGAAGTTGCACTCATGCTGCTCCTGATGTGTTTGCTGCTTGGCCATCTAAATTACGGACTGTTCTGGTATACTGCGCCCAAGAAGTGTGAGTTGCATATACACCGAGGTTGTGTTGCGAGCCAGTGCTCCACTGCCTTGCCGTCAGCAGCGAGCTGCTGACAAACTGCTGCGAGTATGGGGAATGGCAATGCAATCTGATCCAGACTTACAACCGCCTAGCCACCTTTCCCATGGTTCTCTACTTCGTTCTTACCTCTGAGTTGGTGCACCTGAATGTCCACCTCTCTGTCTTCAGCGTGATCTGCTCGTGCCTCATGTGGGAGTTCCTCCTGTATGTAGCAGTCCTGGCATTCTTTGCCGCAGCTTTTGCATCGGCAATTGCTTGCTTGCCCCAAGCTCTGGCTGCTGATTCGGTTCACGAGCGGGACTTCTCCAGTTGGCCCCTGGCTTTTGAGTCTTTGCTGTCCTCTGCCTTCAACGTGTATGGCAGTGACAACTACGAGCAAATCGCGGTGGCAGATGAGCCGATGCTAAAATGGTTTGTCATGGCCTTCGCCGCGTGCTGGCACGTGTACCTCATGAACCTCATGGTGGCACAGCTCTGCCAGCGCTACAACGAAATCTACCACGACGCACGGGGCAATGCTCGCCTGACCCGTGGAATCAACATTTATGAGACCTCCATGCCCCTGATTTCCAAGAAACGTTGGACAGCCTTTGTGGAGTCCTTGCACTTGGACGAGGCTTGCGAACTCGATGAGGGCGACACCGGACCCCGTGGTGCAGTGCCGACGAACGA